GGGACACCCCGGCAGGTGTGCGGAGAAAGAGGTGGGGCGGGGGGGTAGTTCCCGCCCGCACTCCAGTCTCGAAGGGTGTAGGCCGGGGAGTCTTCTTCTTCAGCGGGCGCGCTGTCTCGGCCGGCCGGCTGAGGAAAGCCCGATAGATCTCTTCTCCCTCTTCCTCCCCCCCTCCTCCCTTTCCCTTTCTTCCCCAATCCTCCTCGCACTCTTCTTCTCCCATCTATACGCCCCCACACACAGCTCCCCAGTAGGCTACCTGATCCCATCCCCTTGTAAGGCAGCATCATGTCCCACAAGCTTTCGCGCGACGAGTTCCGCCAGCGGCAGGAGCTCGACGCCGCGCGGAAGGCCGGTACCATTGAGGCCGAGCGCGATGTCGACACCGGCCTTGGCATCAACCCGCACATCCCCCAGTACGTCTCCCAGGCCCCCTGGTACATTGACACCGGTGAGGCAACGCTGCGCCATCAGCGCCAGGCGCGCCAGGAGCCGGAGGACGTCAACAAATTCGTCCGTCGCGGCCTGACCAAGGTACGCCCACGAGCCATGGGCCTGTGCCCCTTCTTCGGTCCTGGTCGCCGGTGCCCTCCCTGACGCCTTTCCTCCTCATGTCCCGCTGCAGCCGCCGCCGAAGAAGTACCGTCCCGGGGCCTGCGAGAATTGCGGGTCCATGACACACAAGCGCAAGGACTGCGTCGAGCGCCCGCGCAAGAAGCTGGCCAAGTTTTCTGGCAAAGACCTGAAGGTGCGTGCGCTGGATGTGTGGCGAAGGGCCTGTCCCTGAGCCTGGGCTGATCTTCCTTTCTTGTCCACCGGTGAGAGGGTGGCTTTTTTTTTTCTGACGACCATGCCTGCTATGCCTTTCAGGGTGATGAGTTTATCGAGAATCCCGAAGACACCCGCTCGTATGCGGCCAAGCGTGACCGCTGGGTTGGCCACGATGAGAGCTCTTACATCTCCGTCATTCGTGGTGCGCCATCATGCCTGTGTTTTGCCTTTGCTCTCTCTCTCTCTCCTTCCCTTCCTGTCTACGCCTGAACATCGCAGGCGCGGCTCCCCCTCTCGCTCCCCATCCCCCAAGGTCGAGGGCCGAGAGAAAGAGAATGGTGGAGGCGACCGTGTACCATTTGCGCGACCATTGACATGGCAATCCCGATCATCCCCCCCC